GCATACAAACAAACACAAAGATCTGTGCATATAAAACCTGTGCATATATCTTGACCAGCAGATACTCATCATGGACAAGCAAGCCTTGTTAAGCACTGGCAAAACCAGGAAAGAGAAGGATAGGGAAACTGACTATTTTTAGTGACAAATTTGCGGCTTCCTTTAAATATTATAAAACTTCTGTCTATCATTACAACTATACTTAGTTTTGATTGCAGTTGTTTTTCATATGAAAAATAAGAAGCATATTGACACGATCACGGTGTGTACTTCTGTCTGCCGTCAATTTCCACCTTTGCAACCAAAGACGCTGGAGAAGTGAAATTCTGAAATCTTAATCATTCGTCCTGTAATAACAGTCCAGAATCCTACTATCAGGCTTCACCTCACGGAATCCCGAGTTATGACCTCAGCCAAAAGGGAACCAAATTGTATTCCAATACTTTTGCTGAGCAATGATGTAGAAAAGAACAATGCTACCTGTTGAGGATCGACTGTTTTTTCTTCCAGAGAAGACGGATTGCTGACAGCCAACAAAACATGAAGTGACAGAGGCGCAATGCCATCAAGCTCGTCATATTCTAAACTTGAATCATCGAAATTATCGAAAAGGCCTCGCGTGGAATCCTGTCCCAAATTTTCCGCTCGACAGTCGCCTTCCGCTACAGACATCCGGCGTATTGATGACGCGCGTGATAACGGATTAGGCATCGAAACATTCAGCTGCTGCAAATTAACATACAACTGTGACAAGAATTAGCATAACTGAACGCTCACTAATCTGGGCGAAAGAAGTACGCATAGGCCCAGTAGGAACCTTGAGACTCATAAGAACATGCAGCAATATCGCTTTGACCACCCGAGTTCTTCCTGAATTCAGCAATTCGATTAGCAATTTTGGATGATACTGCGGCAGTATAGGACTTGCCAAACGGGCAGCTTCGAATAAGCCTTCGTTGCTAATCGCTTCCAGAACATGATCGTCTTTCGAAAGCAGTGTCTGTAGATCGTAAGGTGCCGAATACACACTGCAAAATGATAAGCAAGCAAACCTCCGAAGTGGTGGAAGACGATGGATGTTTTGGGAAGCAGAAATTATACCGATGTAACAAATCTTTGTAGAGTTTCTGTTTATTCAGAGGGATAGGCTCTTGCTTCGGTTTCTTTGACAGTTGATCCAAGGTAGAGTGTGATGGACTGATACCCAAGCCCGAAAGCGCAAGCTGACTGGGCGGTCTGCGCCTGAAACTTCTGACGCATGAAGCATACTTACATCAGACATGAAGCATACATACCTATCAATTCTTCTGACCTACGGGTGTTCGGAGCGATCCGCACCAGTTTTTCGTGGATTGCAGCTGCTCTAAACAGCGCCAAAAAACAACTCTACTGCTAAAACTATAGCAGTATAACACTAACCCCCTCCCCCCTCCCTCAAAGATTTTGCAGATTTTTTAAGAAACAATCGAGTGGACAAACTTGAGATTTTCAGGGATCAATTTATCATCTTTGTTGTCCTGCATACCTGCTAGTGGTGAGCTTTCTGTGTTTCAAGGACGTCGAATCATCACTCGAATTTGTAGGTGCATTGAAAAAAGCTAAGTCTCTTTTGTGATGGCTATCTTCATGCCCACTCGAATTGTTTGAATCGTTGTACTCATACAAGCTTACTTGCAATCGGCATAATCATGGAATTTGAAGCTTGTAACACGTACTCTCACTTTTTTCGTAACGTTTACCTTCATTTTAATGCGCTTTTTGCATCACCATAATGCATAAAAAGCAGATCGTAGAGGGTATGCTGTGTATTATATATATGCATATATATACATATGTACATTATGTATATATATAT